GGGGAAGAGGGGTGAGCTTCTCCAACAGAGTTTTTTAAACACAGCAATCAAAAAGTAGTGTCGCTATCCCGTGCCTTCACTGACAAATTCAAGGAACAGGAATCTCCAGCCTAAGTAAAGCGGCGATCTTGTAACAGGAAGGTGTTATTTTCATGGGGGCACGTTTAAACAGGGAATGAACTTTGCACAACATTGAAAAGCTTTCTCCTTATGACACTTGATTTCACAGTTGCTTCTTTCCCTTTTGGGACTCCTGCTGCTGTGATCTCCATACAGCTTCCTCTTCTTTTTTTTAATCTCCTCCAGGCAATGTTACAACAGGGCTCTGTGATTAGACAGGAAATGATCTGCAGTTCTCCAAGGGGAATGGATAGCTACACACCAGAAGGGTTTCCTCTCCTTAAAACACAAAATACAAGGGAAAATATAATACTTAAGTTCACGCTTTTTAAGTCAAAATGTAAGTGCACTTTTAAGAGACTGGCTAGATTGAGAAGTTGAAGTCCTTATCTTGTGCCCTTCTCGCGCTTGTGTGTCCTGTAAACTTCTGCCCTCAACAACCATCTTATCTTCAACCCCGGAGACATTCAGGTGCCCGAGCACTCAGGGACTGTGGTCTCACTTTCCAAGAGAAAAACAGCAACTTCAAAGTCTTGTTTCTTTCCTTACTGCACACTAAAGTGTCAGGTGCAGCACACGGAGACTGCGTTGTAGACATAAGCCTGGGAGAACACACAACCCTAGGTGCTGGGGAAATAATGTTTAACACAAGAAAATGAATACACTTCAAGTGGGATTTCTGGCATTGCCAACTAGCTAAGGTCAAAATGTTCTGCTGTCATCCCTAAGGCTTTTTTCACTAGAAAAGAACACATGGTTAGTAGAGGGTCAGCAAAAACAAGGGAAACCTTCAATGGCACGTGATAGTGACACTACCCTCAGCGGGATGGTGTCATCGATTTAATTGTATCCCCCAAAAATATCTGTCAACTTGGCTGGGTCATGATTCCCAGTATTGTATGATTGTGTACCATTTTGTAATCTGATGTACTTTCCTTATGTGTTGTAAACTCTATCACTATGATGTAATAAAATTGATTAGCGGCAGTCATATTGATGAGATCTACAAGATTAGATACTGTCTTAAGCCAATCTCTTTTGAGATATAAAAGAGAGAAGCAAGCAGACAGACATGAGAACCTAATACCACCAAGAAAGCAGTGCAGGGAGCAGAGCATATCCTTTGGACCTGAGGTTCCTGTGCACAGAAGCTCCATACCAAGGGAAAGCTGTTGACAAGGACCTTACTCCACAGCCAACAGAGAAAGCCTTCTCCTGGAGCTGACGCCCTGAATTTGGACTTGTAACCTACTAGACTGAGAGAATAAATTTCTGTTTGTGGAAGCCATTCACTTGTGGGACTTCTGTTATAGCAGCACTAGATGGCTAAGACAGATGGATTGACACAATACCTGCAACAGTGAACTCAAATATACCAACAATTATGAAGATGGCACAGGAATGGGCAATGTTTCATTCTGTTATACATAAGGTCCCCAGGAGTTGAAGCTGACTAACAGCAACTAACAATAACAACATAAAAAAGCTGAATTTACCCAAAACTCTCTAAGATAATGTTGAGCAGCTTTTTTTTTTTTTTTTTTGGAGGGGGTGTTGTTTCTGTTGTTCTACTGGGGTGTTTATTTTCCTGCACCTCTCAGCAATTGCTATTTCCTTTAATTGGACTCAGAAACAGATTTACTTCTGGCACGTAACACGTGAATATGTAAAGGCTTACCATGTTTACTCTTGTCAAGTACCCCTATTTATCAGTCTGAAACCTACTACCTGAGCCAGGAAGTGTCAGGTAACTGGTATTTAATTGTTCAGAATGGCAAATATGGATCATGCTGGAACAGAGAAGGTCTCTTTTGTATTTGCTAAAGAAAGGTTACTTTAATAGTATAATTTCTATACCATACAATTTGCATGTGCTCCATAGAGTTTTCAAGGCTGTGACCTTTTGGAAGCAGATCGCCAGGTCTTTCTTCCAAGTGCCTCTGGATGGGTTCGAACAGCCAACCCTCTAGTTAGTAGTCAAGCACTTAACAGTATGTGCCACCCAGGGACTCCATAATTAGCATAGAAGGGCCTTATGGGCTTAATAGATTCTCAGTTTCAGAAGTAACATCAAATCAATCATTTGCATTCTGGAATATGAGGAAATCTACCAAGTGAAATTAATCCTGTCATTTCAAGATAAAAATCCTTATTTTAATCCAATGAAATTGTATTTTAATATTTTATTATAATAAATATTTTAATATTTTATTATAAGCCTAAGTGTTCAACCATTATGCGACAATTTATATAAATAATGATAATAGCATTAGCTGAACTATTACGCAGACACTTAAAATAAGTTATGAAGACCATCTAACAGAAAAATATTTATATGTTAAATAAAAATCACATAGATATAATAAAAATCACATAGATGTATTCTCTATGATTACAACTCACTTTGAGTAGGAATCAACTCAACGGCAACAGGTTTGGTTTGGTATGATTACAATGATGCAGTTTAAAAAAAAACATGGAATCAAATATACCAAAATGCTAATGCTCATCACAATCAGATGAGACAGAATTATGATTTTTCTACTTCCATATTTTGCATTTTTAATTATGTCCTTTATGTTTATAAGGAAAATACATATTTATAACAAGCTGTATTATTAAGTTGGCATGCTAATATTCACAACTATGTGATACTGGCCTAAAATAAACTTTTCAGAAGGAATTAAATTATTTTATGTAATTATTCTGAGAATGATTTAGGTAATATTCCAATCTCTACACTTATGCATTTTTTAAAAATTTTCCACACTAAAGTTTAGAAAGCGAAACTAGACGAGGGAAGGAAATGACTGTAAATACTTCAAGAAACTGTGTCATCAAATCTTTTAGGACCTTATGTCACCAAATCAAAAAACACCAGAAACTGGACAAGATCACAAGAAATCATTTGTACAAACCACTGAAGCGGCAGTGTTGTCTCTCTTCTTGAAACTCTCCCAGGAGGAAGATACTGCAGTCTACTTCAGCGATCCTTGAGAAAGTGGTCAAAAGTTCTTTCATGAAAAATAAAACCTCTCTTTACAAAGTTCAGCAAGTTGTAGTTTAAAAGGGCTCTAGACTCTCACATACCTTAGTTCAAATCCAAACTCAAGTTCCCCGGCGCTACTATCACCTACACTACTAAATCATGATCAGAATTACATACATTATTGGCAACCCCCCAGAAAATACAGACAAGCAATGTTACTTTTCCTATTTTCATCTTCCCTCTTCCCTTAGTCAGGGTTTCTCAAAGTGTCGATGAGCACCACTGCATCAAAATCACTGGTCACTCGTCACACAGGTTGAGTCCAGAATTCCCAGAGGTATGGCCCCTAATTCTACATTTTTATCAAACATTACAAGTGGGCCTTAGGCACTCTAAAACTTAAAGATCATTACAGTTAAGCTATCTTGATATAGTTAACTAATTGATATTCTTTAGACTCAGAAAATAATTAAATATCTTCTTTGCTCATAAAATATTTTATAGACTTGAAGGTGGTCAAGGTTAGGAAACATAGACCTTAGACTCTAGTTTAAGTTAAACACCCAAATTCTTTGAGCCATTCTTGTAAGGGTGTAAATTTTTTATGTTTTAAGCATCTATCTTCCTCTCTAAAGCCTCTCCAGCTTCTTCATGTCCATTTACAGACAACTAAAAGTAGACTGTAATCCACTGTGGCTCAAAAAGAAAAGTACTTACTAAATGATCGCAAGTTAACTTAAACTCATTTAAAATTAATAAGATGGTCAAATAAAATTGATAATTCAATTATTTTTAGATAACCAGAAGGAATAGCAGCTTTTTATTTCTAAGCATGAGAATGTATACCTTATGTCCAAATCAAGAAACAGCTATCATAGATTTTAATATCTAACTTTACTTTCTAATTAGATCTTAATTTCTAGTTTTGGTAAACAGTTCAAGATAGTAACAACAAAAAAAGAAACACTTCAAATTTGTGGAAACAACCTCCACAACTTTATGACAGTCAATAGCATTCTCTACACAAAAGTCAATTCTCAAAACCCTAACATTTCAGAACATAAAAATAAATTTCAGTTTATAGATTTCCCGCTTCCAGTTCCAAAGTGGTTTCTCTTAGAATAAGTACTCATTATGTAAAATTTAGCTGAATCAAGAAACATTCATCCAATGTAAATATCAATTCAAAGCACAGATTTTATATATACTGATTTCATATTTCTCTCTTTTGCTTCTATTCTAGAAAAAAGCAGGAAAAAGTAATTATCCTCATTATAAAATTCTGATCAAGCATACTGACCTTTTCAAGCAATTCAGAAAAGGAAGGGCATTAAGGGAAACTCCTGAGATGAGGCAGGCGGCCTTCAATGTGTCCACAGAAGCCACTGACTAGGAGCCTTCTCTAGCTTACCTGGCTGAAGACACACCACTTGTGCTATTCATGCACATGTGCTCAATTTACTTTACTAGATAAGCTACGAACACTCCACTGTCAACCAAACTTGTCCCTTCCATTTAGGGCGGAACATTTTTTGGGACATTCATCTCCCCTCCCAAGAGAAGTTAGTTCAAATACACTCATTAGCATCTTTGGTTACAAGGACAACACAGTGTATAGATGTTGTTAATAATGGTTCTCCCATGATGTCAAATTTGCAAAGAATCCTATAGGTGTATATAAATGTAACCTGCAGTTTCTAAGCTCCTTGCAAGTCATTACTTGAAGTCAATGGCAGCAGTCCCTCCATGGGGCCACACACAAACTTCCTGTGATGCAAGTGATGTGATTCCTCCAGTCCCTTCAAGGATAGGCTAGGTCTCCAAGGGGCACACAAATGACAAAAACATGTCCAGCTGGTTCTTCACAATAATCTTATCTGGATGTAGCTTGTGGGGTAGATAGTGGGCCAGAGTCATCTCCCAAGCATCAACAAGGTATACTCCAACCCCTGAGAACATTCTCCGAAGAATGGTGTCCAGCTGAAAGTTGTACCAGTCGCTGCTGAAAAGGCTCACCTCAGGCCCCAGCTCTTGGGCGTTGGCCGTCCGGATGACCACCACAGTCTTAGGGCTTCGATCCAGGAGCTGGATGACCGCTCGACGAATGTTCCTGAGCCGCCGGATGTATACTTCCAAGGGGAAGGTGCTAAAGTGAGACCATATGGATATGGCAACCACCGTGTTCTTACCTCCCACAATGCCATTCAGCTCATTTGCCACATAGCGGAGCTCATTGCTGAAGACAGTTGTGAAGCGAATGGGTGGACCATGGCAGCGGTATTTGAGCAGGATGTTGTGCTTCTGGTCCACAGCAAGAAAGGGACCAACATTTTTGGGACTACCCAAGTTAAACTCTACTAAATCTGAAACAAGAAAAACTCAAATTCATAAAAATGTTCAGTCAAGCATACATATTTTGATTATTCTTTACTGAGTGGCTTCAAAGAACAATTTTCAAAATAAAAGAACAATGTTGAAAAGTAGAATACAAATATAAAGGGAATACCTATTTTACTGCACCTTGGCCCACTTTAAATCAATGGACCTTTACTAACATATTTTTTATTGCAATCACTCAAATAACATGCCATTACAAGTAATACCATCCGTGATAATTCTACAACTATGTCTATGCCTCAGAAACAAAATGACCTGTTTCACTTATAGCTATTAAGCCAAGAAATCCTACTGTTTCCACTGATCACTGAAAATTTAAAATTCAACTTTGCATTTAAATTTTATTGTTCTAACAGATAAATATTTCTTCCAGGACAAGGGCTGTAACTTCTGGTTTTATAGTAACACACATTAATAGGTAAACGCCTCTTTTTGAAATAAGCTAACAATAAAAGAAAGGAACAGCCATGGTTTTTTTTTTTTTTTTTTTTTAACTTTCAATTTCACCTAAGTTTGGAAAATCACATTAATGCCCTAGAGAAGAACTTCTACCCCTATCAGGCGAATAACAAAGGGAGCACAACAAGTTAGAATGTCCTCAGCCCTTCTCCTTTATCTAAGCCCAGCTTCGAGGTCCAGCTCCTCTGAAATCTTCTGAAGGTCCAGGGAAGCAGTGACTGACTCCCTCCTCATAATTCCTAAAAAACTATCTGTACAATTCATTTATCACTTCACATATGTCCCACAAGGAAAGAGGGTCTGTCTCATAGCCCTACATATTCCCATAAGAGCCTGGCAAATAAAAGTAAATTTTGGAAATTCAATTAACATTTCCTAAGCACCTATTAAGGAGCCGGGGTGGTGCAGTGGTTAAGAACTCAGCTGCTAACCAAAAGGTCTGCAGTTCGAATTCAACACCTGCTCCTTGGAAACCCTATGGGGCAGTTCTACTCTGTCCTATAGAGTCACTATGTGTTGGAACCGACTCGACAGCAATGGGTTTGGTTTTTGGAAGCACCTATTCGGTGCCAGCTACTATAAAGTGCTACAAGCCAACAACATTCAGGTGAATAAGTCACAGTCCTTGCTAACAAGTTGACAGTCAATTTTGAAGAAGTAAAATCAGATTATAATTGTTCTCTATTACTTTTTAGATTTAAAATAAATGTTTCACTTTTTTTTCTCCGTGTAGTCCCTAGTTTCTCTTCTAGGTTTTCCTACCTAACTCATTACTACTTAGCTTTTAAGTTGCATACAAGCTCCAGCTATCATTCTTTCTTTTGATTAAGATCAAACACTGACACAGGCTTATCAAGTAAAAATCTGTCTGTAGAGGATATGAGGAATATGATCAAGATGGTTAATGTGATCACTGCTATCAAAGGAAATGCCAAGTTACGTCATTAGAACCAAAGAATAAAACTGTAGACTCCTGGAGGGCCCTGCCTGGTCAGCACTGAACCATGCCTACCATCATGCCACACAAACCATTTCCCTTCTCCTGAGTTTTAAGTCTATTCTTTATCAACTAGAACTCAGCTATGTCTATTTTGATTTTAGAAAAATAAAAAGGAAAACAAAAACTAGAAAATGACTTCCCACTTTTGGGAGTAATATCTGTTTCCCCCTTTCCTCCTGAAAATTAAACTTGAAACTAACTTGATGTAATAAATACGAGCTGATGAAAAGAAAACATCAAACATCACGAAATGATGACTAAAAACAAGGCAAGGGGATTTACTTTATGAAAGGCCCTGTCAATATACAGCCATCAAAAACAGTTCTACAAAACGGTTCATCAACTCTCTAAACTGTAAGCAGGGTCTTTACTTCCAGCCCTTAGGATCCAACCATCCTCACCCCAACCACAGGCCTTCCAAGAAGAGAAGGCCCATTTGTGAATAAGAAGTGGCCCTTCAGCCAGTAGGGTTTTGTTCTGAATCTGGAGAGCGATCCCAGAGCCCAGCAGTGAAACCAGGATGCTAAGAATGCTGAACTTACACAGACTCCCTCGGTGAGAGGCAGTCCCACCTCAGAGCCACACCAGTGGAAGGCCTGGCCAATGACACTAGGGGGGCTTTGCTGCATTAAAATGGAGCCACAGCGGGCTTGGCTGCTTCCCTCCAGTTGAATCTACTGTAACCCTGGCATTGGACCACACATAACCAGGGGTGAACAACTGAAAATGTCCACTTTTGTTTTACAGCTAGAGTATTAGAAGTGAAAGACACACATCCCTCCAGGGTTGGGATACCTCCTCAGTCCTGCAGAGAGAGAACTGATTCCTCACCTGGTGCTTTCTACAGGCACCTGAGTGAGTCTGTGCTGTTTTCAAAGCTGATTTCATGCATGTGGGAAAGAGTTAAGAAACAAAAAGCAAAGTACCAACCTGGAACAAATGTAGTAAGGTATTCAAACCACTGCCTGATTGTTGAGTCACCAAATAAATACACCACTTTCCTTTGTAAGCATTCTGTAACATTGTCAGGGTCATTGAACTGGCGCATCCTGAACTTTCTGGGCTGCCACAGGCCTTGGTAATAATACCCGGAGGGAAAAGTTCCTGAGCCTTGAGAGAGTTCTGGGTTGTCAGTGTCTGGAACGAAAAAGGAAAAATAAGATATTCCGACATTTTCCTCCAACAAACCATAGATGAAAAATGTTCCCACACAATTATGTCCATAGAGTGCTAGGCTGCTGGCATGTGGGCAGCATTTCCTGCCATCATATCTCAGAGAAATCCCAGACTTTTCCCTGATAAAAAGGGTTCTCCTTTGCACAAAAATGGGCAGGTATGAAACGAGGGGGAGGGTGTTGGTGGACAGAATGGGAAAAGGGGACCTAGAGCATTGCTTCAGAGTAAGCATGTTTTTAACATATTCAAAAATAAAGGAAGATAAAAAAACAAGGAAATATGTGGATGTGCCACCCAACATTATCCCAGCAAAAGAAAGCAATTTCTCAACCAAATGCCTATGAGGTGTTAACAACTTCAATTCATATTGTTACATATGCAGAGTAACATTAGTCCACTGTTGCTGAGCCGACTAAAAGGAAAGTTTTAATCCATGAGTCCTACAATCAAATTTTAATTCAGAAAACCACCACTTAATACAGAGAACAAACTAGTGACATATAATCTAACTTATTATTTCCCACAATGCAAAGATTTAGAAGATCTTTACGCACAATGAACAATACTAAAAATGCACCAGGAATGGGTACTAATGGTTGTAGCCTAGCTACATGCAATAACACAAGCACCAGGACACTTTTCAGAGGCAGTCAACATCCCACTGCCCTAACGCCTCCCTTGGAAGATGTTGCTATGGGAACAACACTCTTTACATGCTTCGAAACAAAGAGCGATAGCCAACGTTTCTTGCAAGCTTACTTTACACCAGATACGGTTCTGAGCAATTAAATGTACTATCTCATCTGATGCTCACAACAACCCTTTAGGTAGGCTCTGTTATTATCCCCATCTTTCAGAACGGTGAAGCAAACTGACCAAGGTCCCAGAGCTAGTAAGAGGCAAAGCCGGTACCTGATCCTAGCAGATGAGCCCAAAACCCATGCTCTTAATCACTGCACTAGACCACCTCTGAGAAAAGATGGTTATGCATGTCAGCCATTGCTTTTTGGATTTTTTTGAAGATGTATACTTATTCATTTCTAATAGGTATTCAAATCTATAATCTTCAGGAAGCCACCAGTCATTTTACATCACTTCCTTACATACCCTAAGGTTCAACCTTGATCATAATCCAGTCATTCTACAGTCATCTACTAAACTACAATCTGAAGTCTAAATCCTTATACGATTCAGAAATTTAACTGAGTCCTCTATTTGTGAGTATTTGCTGCTAAATGTACTCCTTGATGTCATCCATTTTACTCAAAATTATTTTTGTTTGTATTCCCTTCAAAGATGCCCTATTTGCTCATTTACTCTCTGTTCTCAGGCATCTGCTAATTCTTGGCAGTTTCAGGATCCAAGTTGAAAAGTAAACAGTGTTTTTAAAAGCTTTATTGAGCAAACGAGATTGTCAAAGTAAAAATGGGGGGTAGGGTAAATATTTATTTGGTTTATTCGAAAACAATTTCTCAACATGTTACCAAGTGTGAGTTTACCATGTTACCACACCTAGCCTGAAGCTCTGTCATTAGAGCAGTACGTCAAGGCTGGATAGGCTAAAGAGCTTCAGAGAAGACACCCGGGGCCCAAAGAAAACATTTACTGGAACGGCAATTAAAAGTGATTTTGAAGTACAGTTTTCACCAAGGTTAATTCAGTAGTTAGTCAACTATTCTGTGTCAAATACATGTTATAAACAGTGCATATCACAGAGGAAACAATTACATTCCATTCAGATATTAATTATATTTACTACCAGAGGTAAGCCAAGCCAAGCAAATCAATTACTGAACCTGATGTTAATTTTTTAAACAAGTCACACTAGAGAGCAGGATGGCATTTTTAAAGTGAAATGAATGTGCCTGCACTGCCCCCTTGTGGTCAGCTGGGACAGGAACCATTTCCTGACTCAATATGATTTTTTTAAGCAGTGTCTGAGGTGGTGTGTCAAAAGTCATTAAGTTTCTTAGAACTCAGGATACATTTTCACGTCAGATAACTAAATATGAAAGTCTCTTAAATTGATAAAGTAACCCCTAATGTACTATGCATGTGAAATAAAAATGAGATATTACTCAATTTTACGGTTATCTTGAACACCGGTGGAGAAGGAAAAGGTTTAAACGGAGGTGGTGGTAAAAACAGGTAGGAGGATTTTTGTACAAAATCAGAGAGGACATGTTTGATTCTTTGAAAGTGAAGTTCCTGCTTCTCTATAAGGGCTTGGCTTCTCTTGAAAGCCCATGCCTTCCCTTTGCCCTCAAAGAGTGAGTCGGACCACATCATTCATCAGCCATGATGGGGGCTGTGTGGGCCATAAATAGGACAAAATGAGAGATGAGAAAGCAGAGGGACTGACATTGCCCCAAGCTGTCTAGAAAAAGCTGGAGGAGGGGCTACAGGTGAATTAAGGGTGTGGCGCAGTGATTAAGAGCTTGGCTGCTAACCAAAAGGAAAGTCGGCAGTTTGAAACCACCAGCCGCCCCTTGGAAACCCTGTGGGACAGTTCTACTCTGTCCTATAGGGTCACTATGAGCCAGAATAGCAAGAGTTTTTTGTTGTTGTTGTTGTTTGTTTGTTTTTATATACATTATATGGTATGGCATAATCTGTAGAATTTAGAACAGTAAAGGACAGGACAAAGAGGGGGTATGTGATCTGTGAAGGGGGAAAAAGACAAGACAGAGCAGGAACAGGATCAAACAATCCCTGCACCAGGGAACACCATGAGCACAGGAAAGCTTGGGCGCCACCTTAGGTGGATACAGAATGAGGACAGCGTGTGACAAGCCATTTAGGCACACCCTGTCACATGCTGGGAGTATGAGAAGGGCCTGACTACACAGCAATTAATAGTGGCTTGAGTTTGGGCTTACTCCTTGAGTTCCTCCCATAATACCTTGTGAATCAGATTTTTTTTTTCTTTATATTTTAGTCCCCTAAAAGCTAAGCATTTTACAGAGGAAAGCTAAAAATGTTGTATAAGTAGGAATATTTGTAGATTTATAGAATATCAAAGTTAAAAGGAAACTCAGCCAAGAGCCAGTCTAAATATCTCATTTAAAGGTGAGGAAAGCAAGTCACAGTATGATCAAGTAATTTGCCAAAGTTTCTCAGAGAGTGGTAAAGGCAGCATTCAAACATATCCGTGCCGTCTGCAAAGACATATACCATATTTTTTCACAAATAATGTGCCCACACATATAATGTGTGGCACTGCTCACTTACGAAAATAGCAAGGACGGGTTGCGAGGTTGGCAAAAAAAGTATAATGTGCACATTATTTGCATAAAAATACCTTACATATCATAACTGATATAGTTTTGGGAGCAGGCTTTCTTCCCCCAAATAACATCAGTTAGCTGGGTTTTATACGCAGGATATTAGGCCTCTAATATTGTAGGGTAACTACAATGTACTCTGTATCAAATTATTGTTCCAACAACTGGAAAATACTTGCCTTTCAAATAGCTTTGTCCCACTTGCTGTGATGGCAGTTCTTCTTTGTCATTTTTTAAGAAATTATTACCAGACAGAAGTCTCATCCATAAAGACACTAGTTTAGTTTTCACTGCACAACGTGAAAAACACTCACTCTATCACTTGGATGCATTTGGATACTAAACCAAAGCAAACCCATTGCCACTGAGTCAATTCCAACTCATAGTGACCCTACAGGAGTCAGAGGACCTGGGCTATGTCTGATTCCACCTCTCCAACTATAAAAAACAAAAACCAAACCCACTGCCATTGAGTCGATTCCGACTCATAGCGACACTATAGGATAGAGTAGAACTGCCCGATAGAGTTTCCAAGGAGTGGCTGGTGGATTCAAACTGCCTACCTTTTGGTGAGCAGCCATAGCACTTAACCACTACGCCACCAGGGTTTCGATCTCCAACTATGAGACTCCAGAAATCACTTAAACTCTCATCTTAGTCACCCCTTGGATCCTCACAGTATGGTCTAGCACTTGGCACAGAGCAGGTGGCAAAATGATGACTGAGTGAATGAGTCTCTGGGCCTTGGTTTTATCATCTATAAAACAGGGAAACTATGGGCTATTTTGTAGGGCTGTTATGAAAATTCAGTACTACAAAAGCATAAAAGCACTCTGTTAATAGTAAAGGGCTGGCTGGGATGCTGAAAACATTCTATATGCTCTAAACACTACTGTATTCATTTTCTATTTCTGTGTAACAGATTACCACAAACTCAATGGCTTAGAAACAAGGGACATTTATCGTCCCACAGTTCTGTAGGTCAGGAGTCTAGGTACTGTGTAGCTAGGTTCTCTGCTCAGGGTCTCACAAGCTGAAATCAGGGTGTCGGCAGGGCTGCGTTCTTTTCTAGAGATTCTGGCGAAAAATCCACTTCCAAGCTCATTCAAGTTGTTGGCCAAATTTAGTTCCTTGCGCTTGCAGGACTAAGGCTCCTGTTTCCTTGCTCACTGTCTGTAAGGGGCTGCCCTTAGCATCTACAAGCCACCCATATTCCTTGCCATTTGACCCCCCTCTATTTTCAAGGCCAGGAATAAAGGATCTCGCTCATGGGGAATCCCTCTCACACTTAGAATCTCTTCCTTCAGGAAGTCTGATCCTGTTAAAGGCTTACCTGATTAGGTCAGGTCAACCCAGAATAATCTCCCTTTTTAAAAATCAAAACTGCCATATAATATAACCTAATCATGGGAGGGACATCCATCATATTTACAGGTACCTCCAACACTCAAGGGGAAGGGATTATATAAAGTCATGGATCATTGGAAGTCATCTTAGAATTCTGCCTACCACAGTTAGTTATTAAAGATATATACAAATGTAAAACTTCATTGTACTATATACTTATGATTATGTGTCCTGTTGTATATAAGATATAGCTCAATAAATAATGACAAATAGTAAAGAGCTATAAAGATGTTAGTGTTTATTTTATATTAGTGTTTATTTTATTACTATTAGATCTAGTCTTATCTCAGACTCTCAAAAAGCACCCGCAAAAAATATGACGTCTAGTTGTTAATGAGGCTGTTGTTGTTAGCTGCTGTCGAGTTGGCCCTCGACTCATGGCGACCCCATGTACAACAGGATCAGACCACTGTGATCGACTGGGCTTTCACTGGCTGATTTTTCAGATCGCCAGGTCTTTCTTCTAGTCTGTCTTAGTCTGGAAGCTCCATTGAAACCTGTTAAGCATCACAGCAACAAGCAAGTGTCCACTGATAAGACAGCTGGTGTCCTGAGAAGCACTGGTCAGAAATCAAACCTAGGTTTCCCACATGTAAGGCCAGAATTCTACCACTGAACCACCACTGCCCCCGTTGGTGAAGTTAGAGGCCACCAATGTCCCCAAACCATTTAGCTATGGGGGCCTGGGGACCACAGTACAGGCACTAATGAGAACCCAGCAGCAGTTCTGACACTGGGGAGGCCTGTCAGAAGCCAGCCTCTTGCCTTGATCTGGTAGTCTAGTCTAATTAAAAGTTGTGTTTCTTGACTGAGACTAGAGGATCCCCAGAAAGCATGACCCCTGGACTCTCTCTCAACCTAGAATTAAAACCATTCCTGAGGCCAACTCTTCAGACAAAGATTAGACTGGACTATGTGATATAAAATGACACTTGTGAAGAGTGTGCTTCTTAGCTCAAGTAGATACATGAGACAAAATGGGCAGCTCCTGTTCGGAGGTGAGATTAGAAGGCAGAGAGGGTCAGGAGCTGGTTGAATGGACACAGGAAATCCGGGGTGGAAAGGAGGAGTGTGCTGTCACAGTATGGGGAGAGCAATTAGGGTCACATAACAATGTATGTATAAATTTTTATATGAGAGACTAAGTTGAATTGTAAACTTTCACTTAAAGTACAATAAAAAAAAAGTTGTGTTTCTTTGCTTTGACTGAAATTATATACACTCATGAGGGTAGCACTGGCACTGTCAAGCAAAATGCATCTCATATGCATCAAAATATGCATCTTAGAATAATTTTACCTTGTAGGAAAATCAATTAACTAATACATAACACAATTGCATAGGGAAAAAAACTTCAACACATTGGATTCCTAAGTGAAAATAATAAAAGTAAAAAGACTAGAAGCCTTTTCAAGGCTGGGGTAAGGAAAATGCAAGATGAGCCTGGACTATTTTGTGAGGCCAGAAAGTAAGGAAATGCTCCAAAAACCAAAAAAAAAAGAATATGAGAGCATGTCAAAAGGGCACAGAAGCCAATCTGAAAAAGTTCCCAATGGCCAAAGCTGGAATAATTTGAGCAACAAAATAAATAATGATAGTATTGATTATAACTGAAAGAATGAAATAAATACTCATGAATCTATACTGATATAAATAATTAAATAAATTAGGAAGGAGAGACAACTCTTCCTTACTGAAAAATTTCGATTAATAAAGGTCAAAGGAATGAAAGATATTAAAAGTTACCATTAGAAATAACTGCTGCAAGATCTACTGACGGATGCTAAAATTAGTGAGTGAAAGTTTAACCAGAAACAGAATTGTTTGCAGAGCCTCTGTATTAGTTTCTTGCTGTAAAAAGTTATCAAAAATTTAATGGCGTAAAACAACACAAATTGATTCTCTTACAGTTCTGGAGGCCAGAACGGAAATCAGTTTCATTAGCCAAAACCAAGGTGTCACCAGAGCCATAACCAAGGTGTCACCAGAGCCATGCTCCCTCTGGAGGCTATAAGGGAAAATCCGTTTTCTTGTCTTTTCCAATTCCTACAGCTGCATTCCTTGGTCCATGGCCCTCTTCTCCATCTTCGGAGCCAAAAGTGAAACACTTCCAAATTTCTCTCTACTTCCATCATCAGATCACCTTCTGTCTTCTCTATCAAATCTCCCTCTGGCTCCCTCTTACAAGGACATATGTGACTGCATTTCAGGCCCACTCAATCCAGGATAATCTCGTCTCAAGGTCCTTAATTTAGTCACACATGCAAAGTCTCTTTTGTCATATAAAGTTACATTCACAGGTTCCAAGGATTAGGACCTGGATATCTTTGGGGGTCATTACTCCGCCTACCATAGTCTCAAAGTATCTCCCCAGAACACTGAGTAAATATAAAGATAAAAATAATAACTTTACAATGGAAAACCCTGGCAGTGATTAACGTTAACATTGCTAGCAATACATATCTACATCAGGTACTCCATGAAAAGAACACAATATCATTTCTGTGCTATTTTGCCAAAATGTATGACCTCTTCTAACCACAAGGAAACATCAGACAAACCCAAACTGAGAGACATTCTACAAAATATCTGACTGATACTCTTCAAAAGTGTCAAGGTCATGAAAAACAATGAAAAACTGAGGAACTGTCACAGATTAGAGGAGACTAAGGCAGCATGATGACTACATGCAATGTGGGATCCTGGACTGGATCCTGGAGCAGAAAAAGGATATTGGTGGAAAAACTGATGAAATCCAGATAAATTCTATAGTTAATAATACTATATCCGAAAACCAAACCCACTTTCACCTGGTCAATTCTGACTCACAGTGACCCTATAGGACATAGTAGAACTGCCCAATAGAGTCTCCAAGGCTGTAAATTTTTATGGAAGCAGACTGCCCCATCTTTCTCTCCAGGAGCAGCTGCTGGGTTCGAACCACTGACTTTTCAGTTAGCAGCCAAGCGTTAGCCATTTGTGCCACAGGGGCTCCTTTAGAGGTCAAGTCCAAAACAAAACCAAACCCATTGCCATGGAGTCGATTCCAACTCATAACAACCCTACAGGATAGAGTAGAACTGTCCCATGGGGTTTCCAATGCTGTAATCTTTACAGAAGTAGACTGCCACATCTTTCTCCCCAAGAGTGGCTGGTAGGTTCAAACCACCAACCTTTTGGTAAGCAGCCAAGCACTTAGCCATTGCACCACATAATCTATACTTCTGAATTGCATTCTTTTATTATTAACAACATCTTACACCAATGAGTGAGAATCTCTGAAAGGGTTTGTTAAAACACAGGCACCCCTACCTCTGGAGTTTCTGATTCAGTAGTCTGAGGTGGAGCCCCAAGAATGTGCAACTCCAGGAAGTTCCCTGGTAATGCTAATGCTGCTGGTCAGGAAACCACGCTTGGAGAACAACCGTCATTCACTAACCTCGTGCTTTTCCATTTAAACATTTTTCATGACAGTTTCACACACGTCTCTTGAATATGTCTAGAACAGAAATATCCAACTAAACTTTCAGCGATGACAGACACATCCTATATCAAATATTGTCCAATATGGTGGCCACTGACCACACGTGACCATTAAGCACATGAAACATGGCTACTGTGACTGAAGAACTGAATTTCTAATTTCATTTAATTTTAATTTAAATAGCCACCATATTCGACACCACAGTTCTAGAGGTCCTTAAGGGGACAAATGCGGGGGAGAGGAACAGACAACTTTTACATGAGCATAAATAACAAAACCCAGAATTGTATACATATTGGGGAACACAATTCAACTCATAACAAGGTCTACTTCTGGGTTTTTTTAAATCAAACAGTCCTTTCAGTATTTTCAATTATGCCAAGAAGTTATTATTGCATATTAAAGGAAAAAAAGTTTTTGTAACATCAGTGAAACTACAGCGCCTCGTACAACTTAGCAATAAATAAATAAGTCATCAAGCTCATTTCCTTTTACCTTTTATTCTCCTGGGAACCACGGTCACCCAGTCAGGTCCACTAGAGTTGATTGGCATTTTGATATTGACACCACTTTAAAAGAAATAAAAATAACACAAGATTTAGGAGCAGTTTTTTATTTTCATTTATTTTCATTTATGTATCGTTATTTGCAAAGAAAAAAATGGATATGATTTCACGGAGCCTTATTAAGATTAAATATACAGTGAAACCTGTGAGAGGCAGAACTCAAAGGGACTGCCTTGTTCTTCCGGGTCTCGCAAGTTTTCCACCTTTGACAGGGTGCAGTCTGACCACTTTTCTGATGCTGGTTTTAGTGGAAAATATTTGCGTTTTCCTTCTCTAATAGGTATTCACCTTACACAGGTTCCAGCTTTCGCAAGTTTTACTGTACTTAAAAATGTTAACCAATACAATAATTAATTAATAACTTAGGTCTCTTAGAAAAAGCAGATTATGTATATATAGAAACTGAACAAGAATTACTAAGTTTTTAATATTTTTTCACACTGACTACTACTTAGCCCGGCCAAAGGCTGTAAACTCCAAAATAACCAATAGCAGTTTAAACTGGTTGTTGTTGCTCTTAGGTGCCGTCGAGTTGTTTCCGACATACAGCAACCCTATGTACAAAAGAACAAAAATACTGCCCAGTCCTGCACCATCCTCACAATCATTGCTATGTTTGAGCCTACTGTTGCAGCCACTGTGACAATCCATCTCGTCAAAGGTCTCCCTCTTTTTCGCTGAGCCTCTACTTTACCAAGCATGATGTCCTTCTCCAGGGACTGGTCCCTCCTGATAACATGTCCAAAGTACGTGTGATGAAGTCTCGCCATCCTCACTTCCAAGGAGCACTCTGGCTGTACTTCTTTCAACACAGACTTATTCATTCTTCTGGCAGTCCATGGTATATTCAATATCCTTCACCAACACCATAATTCAAAGGCGTCAATTCCTCTTCAGTCTTCCTTATTCATTGTCCAGCTTTCCCATGCATACGGTATGATTGAAAACACTATGGCTTGGGTCTGGCCCACTTTAGTCCTCAAGGTGACATCTTTGCTTTTCAACACTTTAAAGAGGTCTTCTGCAGCAGATTTGTCCAATACAATATGTCATTTGATTTCTTGACTGCTGTTTCCATGGGCGTTGATCGTGGATCCAAGTAAAGTGAAATCCTTAACAACTTCAATATTTTCTCCGTTTATCATGATGTTGCTTATTGGTCCAGTTGTGAGGGGTTTTGTTTTCTTTATGTTGAGGTGCAACCCATACTGAAAGCTGTGGTCTTTTACCTTCATCAGTAAGTGCTTCAAGTCCTCTTCACTTTCAACAAGCAAGGTTGTAAAAGCTGTGTATCACAGGCTGTTAATGAGTGATTATTAACAGTCCTGATGCCAGTTCTTCTTCATACAGTCCAGCTTCTTGGGTTATTTGCTCAGCATACAGATTGAATAAGTATGGTGAAGGGATACAACCCTGACACACACGTTTCCTGATTTTAAACCATGCAGTTTCCCCTTGTTCTGTTGGAATGATTGCCTCTTGGTCTATGTACAGTTTCTGAATGAGCACATGAGTTTGAACTACTTAACCAAAAACCAAACCAAACCCAATGCCGTCAAATCAATCCTGACTTATAGTGACCTCATAGGATAGAGTAGAACCACCCTATAGGGTTTCCAAAGCTGTAATCTTTATGGAAGCAGACTGCCACATCTTCTTCCTCGGAGCAGCTGCTGGGTTCCAACTGCTGACCTTCCGGTTAGCAGCTGAGCACTGAACCATATGTGCCACTGGGGCTCCTTTAGAGGTCAAATCCAAAACCAAACCAAACTCATTGCCATGGAGTCGATTCCAACTCCTAGCAACCCTATAGGACAGAGTAGAATTGCCCCATAGGGTTTCCAAGGCCGTTATCTTTACGGAAGCAGACTGCCACATCTTTCTCCTGCAGAGGGGCTGGTAGGTTCAAATTGCTGAACTTTAGGTTAGCAGCCAAGCACTCAACCACTACACCACCCTGGCTCCTCACTGAACTACTTATTACCCTTCAGCTGGAGAACGGTTTATACTGACCAGAATGTCTATTTTATTAATACCTAGCCTTCACTCATCTGTCAGTTTCTCGTACTGTGGTGACTTGTGTGTTGCTGTGATGCTAGAAGCTATGCCACTGGTATTTCAAATACCAGCAGGGTCACCCATGGTGGGCAGGTTTCAGCAGAGCTTCCAGATTAAGACAGGCTAGGAAGAAGGACCCTGGCAGTCTACTTCTGAAAAAATGGCCAGTGAAAACCTTATAAATAGCAGCAGAACATTGTCTGACATAGTGCCAGAAGATGAGCCCATCAGGTTGGAAGGCACTCAAAACATGACTGGGGAAGAGTTGCCTCCTCAAAGTAGAGTCGACTTTATTAACATGGATGGCGCAAAGCTTTCAAGACCTTCATTTGCTGATGTGCCACGACTCAAAATGAGAAGAAACAGCTACAAACATCCATTAATAATAGGAACGTGGAATGTATGAAGTACGAATCTAGGAAAACTGGAAGTCATCAAAAATGAAATGGAATGCATAAAGATCTATATCCTAGGCATTAGTGAGCTGAAATGGACTGCTATTGGCCATTCTGAATCATATAATCATAGGGTCTACCATGCTGGGAATGACTAAATTGAAGAAGAATGGTGTCACATGCATCGTCAAAAAGAATATTTCAAGATCTACCCTGAAGTACAACGCTGTCAGTGATAGGTAAATATCCACACATCTACAAGGAAGATCAGTTAATACGACTATTTTTCAAATTTACCCACCAACAACTAAGGCCAAAGATGAAGAAATTGAAGATTTTTACAAACTCCTGCAGTATGAAATTGATCAAACTGCACTCAAGACACACTGATAATTACTGCTGATTGGAATGCCAAAGTTGGAAACAAAGAAGATGGATTGGTAGTTGGAAAATACGGCCTTGGTGATAGAAACAACACCGGAGATCGTATGTTAGAATTTTGCAAGATGAGCAACTTCTTCATTGCAAATACCTTTTTTCAACAACATGAACAGATACTATACACATGGAGGAGCCCTGGTGGCGCAGTCATTAAGAGTTCAGCCACTAACCAAAAGGTTGGCAGTTCAAATCCACCAGCCGCTCCTTGGAAATCCTATGGGGCAATTCTACTCTGTCCTATAGGGTCGCTATGAGTCGGAATTGACTTGATAGCAACAGGTTTGGTTTTTTGGTTTTATACACATGGACCTCGCCAGATGGAATCAAATCAAACCGACTACACCTGTGAAAAGAGATGATGGAGAAGCTCAATATCATCAGTCAGAACAAGGCCAGGGGCCAATGGCAGAACAGACCATCAATTGCTCATATGCAAGTTGAAGCTGAAGCTGAAGAAAATTAGAGCAAGTCTATGAGAGCCAAAATACAACCTTGAGTATATCCCACCTGAATTTAGAGATCATCTCAAGAACAGATTTGACACATTGAATACTAATGACCAAAGACCAGACGAGTTGTGGAATGACATCAAGGACATCATATATGAAGAAGCAAAAGGTCATTAAAAAGACAGGAAAGAAGGAAAAGACTAAAATGGATGCCAGAAGGGACTCTGAAACTTGCTCTTGAATGTACAGTAACTAAAGCAAATGGAAGAAATGATGAGTAAAAGCTGAAAAGAAGATTTTAAAGGATGGTTTGAGAAGACAAAGCAAACTATTACAATGAAATGTGTAAAGACCTGGATTTAGTAAACCAAAAGGGAAGTACATGCTCAGCATTTCTCAAGCGGAAAGAACTGAAGAAAAAAATCAAGCCTCGAGTTGCAATACTGAAGGATTCTACAGGGAAAATATTGAATGAAGACGAAGCATTAAGAGAAGATGGAAGGAATACGCGGAGTCACTGCACCAAAAAAAACTGGTCGACATTCAACCATTTCAGGAGGTAGCATATGATCAAGAACTGATGTTAATGAAGGAAGAAGTCTAAGCTGCACTGAAGGTGTTGGCAAAAAACAAGGCTCCAGGAATTGACAGAATACCAACTGAGATGCTTCAACAAATGGATGCAGCACTGGCGGTGCTCACTTGTCTATGCCAAGAAATTTGGAAGAGATCTACTTGGCCAACCAACTGGAAGCCGATCTACATTTGTGCCCATTCCAAAGAAAGGCGATCCAACAGAATGCGGAACTTATCGAACAATATCATTAATGTCACACACAACTAAAATTTTGCTGAAGATCATTCAAAAGCGGTTACAGCAGTACATCGACAGAGAACTGACAGAAATTCAAGCTAGATTCAGAAGAGGATGTGGAGCGAGAGATATCTCTGCTGATGTCAGATGGATCTTGGCTGAAAGTAGAGAATACCAGAAAGGTATTTACCTGTGTTTTATTGACTATGCAAAGACATTTGAGTGTGTGGATCATAACAAATTATGGATAACACTGCGAAGAATGGGAATTCCAGAACACTTAATTGTGCTCATGGGTAACCAGTACATAGACCAAGAGGCAGTCATTCAAACAGAACTTGGGGATACTGCATGGTTTAAAATCAGAAAAGGTGTATATCAGGGTTGTATCCTTTCACCATACTTATTCAGCAAATATTCCGAGAAGCTGGACTATATGAAGAAGAACATGGCATCAGGACTGGAGCAAGACTCATTAACAACCGCAATATGTAGATGACACAAGCTTGCTTGCTGAAAACAAAGAGACTTGAAGCACTTACTGATGAAGATCAGACTACAGCCTTCAGTATGGATTACACCTCAACATAAAGAAAACAAAAATCCTCAGCCTGAGACCAGAAAAACCAGATGGTGCCCAGCTACCACCAATTACCTCCCTGACAGGGAACACAACAGAGTCCCTGATGGAGCAGGAGAAAAGTAACATGCAGAACTCAAATTCTAGTAAAAAGACCAGACTTAATGGTTTGACTGAGACTGGAGGGACCCTGGATGTCATGGCCCCCGGACTCTCTGTTAGCCCAAAACTAAAACCACTCCCGAGGCCAATTCTTCAGACAAAGA